ACACATTTGAAATTCATATGGGGTAGATTCTACATGAACCCACTGTTATTGCCAAAATCTTTACTCAATTTAGAACCGTCTTCCCGAGATATATCTTCCATAAGCCATATAAAGTTATAATAGAACAAATTGAAGAGCCAGAAGTGGCAGATACGATTCATATCTACACCGACGGTTCTAAAACAAAACAAGGCTCAGGATGCGGAATATACTCCAGATTCCTGAACCTAAACATACAATGGGCTGTGAGCAATAGTGCCAGTGTAGTTCAAACAGAGCTAACGGGGATTCTCATAGCAGCAAAAGAAATAACCAGAAACGATATCACTGGAAGGAACATGCTCATCTATACAGATAGCAGACAAGCACTACTCACCCTGAACAAACCACGAATTTATTCAGGGTTAGTACTAGAATGTCACGAAGCTTTGACCGAAGTATCCATCAACAATGTGGTCACCTTAAGATGGATCAAAGGTCACGCCACATCGAAAGGTAACCGTCTTGCCGATTCACTAGCCAAGAAAGCTGCCAACCAAATACTTTTTGGACCTGGTCCTTCTATTGGCCTGACAAAATCGGTAATGACAGCTCTAATTAAAGAACATTCCCTTGTGAAATTTAAGGAAAGATGGGATGAAACATTAAACTGCAGAGTTGCCAGGGAGCTCTTAAGTTATCCTGACAACACTGCAGCAAACAAATACTTGACTATGACTAGACAGAATCTGCATCTGGTCACAGGCATTCTGACTGGTCATTGCCAAGTACGGATACATCTCCATATCATGGGGCTGTCAAAATCCGCACTCTGCAGAGGGTGCGAACAAGAAGATGAGACCATCGAGCATATCCTTTACGATTGCTCGACGCTCTCATTTATTAGAAGATTTGTTTTCGGCGAGTATCGGCTAACACCGGCCGATATAAGAGAAGCACCTCTTGACGACGTTGTCAACTACATTAAATCTGTAGGCTGGCTCACGAGCTAGGAGGTGCATATCATCTTAGGAGGATGCACAAGTGCCGTGGGGGGTAACCCATCCTCCACACGTTACAGATACAAAGAGAGAGAGAACCGTCTTCTAAGTATTCTTCTATATTCCTTACTATCTGAGAAAAGTACGTCCTCTTGCATTTATAATTCTGATAGATGATGCCAATTCTTCTTTTCAGCAGACGATACAAGTTCTTCTCGTTATTCCATACAGACGAGATGCCTCTAGATGAGAAATGTCCTTTGATAAAACGCATCTCAAAGGTTATCAAAAAAAAATTAAATTTTAAAAAAATTTAAAAGTAAAAAATCTAAAAAATTTAAAAAATTTAAAAAATTTAAAAAATTTAAAAAATTTAAAAAAATTAGAAAATTTAAAAAATTTAAAAAATTTAAAAAATTTAAAAAATTTAAAAAATTTAAAAAATTTAAAAAATTTAAAAAATTTAAAAAATTTAAAAAATTTAAAAAATTTAAAAAATTTAAAAAATTTAAAAAATTTAAAAAATTTAAAAAATTTAAAAAATTTAAAAAATTTAAAAAATTTAAAAAATTTAAAAAATTTAAAAAATTTAAAAAATTTAAAAAATTTAAAAAATTTAAAAAATTTAAAAAATTTAAAAAATTTAAAAAATTTAAAAAATTTAAAAAATTTAAAAAATTTAAAAAATTTAAAAAATTTAAAAAATTTAAAAAATTTAAAAAATTTAAAAAATTTAAAAAATTTAAAAAATTTAAAAAATTTAAAAAATTTAAAAAATTTTAAAAATTTTAAAAATTTAAAAAATTTAAAAAATTTAAAAAATTTAAAAAATTTAAAAAATTTAAAAAATTTAAAAAATTTAAAAAATTTAAAAAATTTAAAAAATTTAAAAAATTTAAAAAATTTAAAAAATTTAAAAAATTTAAAAAATTTAAAAAATTTAAAAAATTTAAAAAATTTAAAAAATTTAAAAAATTTAAAAAATTTTAAAAATTTAAAAAATTTTAAAAATTTTAAAAATTTAAAAAATTTAAAAAATTTAAAAAATTTAAAAAATTTAAAAAATTTAAAAAATTTAAAAAATTTAAAAAATTTAAAAAATTTAAAAAATTTAAAAAATTTAAAAAATTTAAAAAATTTAAAAAATTTAAAAAATTTAAAAAATTTAAAAAATTTAAAAAATTTAAAAAATTTAAAAAATTTAAAAAATTTAAAAAATTTAAAAAATTTAAAAAATTTAAAAAATTTAAAAAATTTAAAAAATTTAAAAAATTTAAAAAATTTAAAAAATTTAAAAAATTTAAAAAAATTAAAAAAATTAAAAAATTTAAAAAATTTAAAAAATTTAAAAAATTTAAAAAATTTAAAAAATTTAAAAAATTTAAAAAATTTAAAAAATTTAAAAAATTTAAAAAATTTAAAAAATTTAAAAAATTTAAAAAATTTCAGAAATAAAATTAAAAAAATTAAAAAAAATTAAAAAAATTAAAAAAATTAAAAAAATTAAAAAAATTAAAAAAATTAAAAAAATTAAAAAAATTAAAAAAATTAAAAAAATTAAAAAAATTAAAAAAATTAAAAAAATTAAAAAAATTAAAAAAATTAAAAAAATTAAAAAAATTAAAAAAATTAAAAAAATTAAAAAAATTAAAAAAATTAAAAAAATTAAAAAAATTAAAAAAATTAAAAAAATTAAAAAAATTAAAAAAATTAAAAAAATTAAAAAAATTAAAAAAATTAAAAAAATTAAAAAAATTAAAAAAATTAAAAAAATTAAAAAAATTAAAAAAATTAAAAAAATTAAAAAAATTAAAAAAATTAAAAAAATTAAAAAAATTAAAAAAATTAAAAAAATTAAAAAAATTAAAAAAATTAAAAAAATTAAAAAAATTAAAAAAATTAAAAAAATTAAAAAAATTAAAAAAATTAAAAAAATTAAAAAAATTAAAAAAATTAAAAAAATTAAAAAAATTAAAAAAATTAAAAAAATTTAAAAAATTTAAAAAATTTAAAAAATTTAAAAAATTTAAAAAATTTAAAAAATTTTAAAAATTTAAAATATTTAAAAAATTTAAAAAATTTAAAAAATTTAAAAAATTAAAAAAATTAAAAAAATTAAAAAATAAAAAAATTAAAAACAATCAAAAAAGGTTTTGTCTAATTATATTTTATCTAAATCATCTTTTACATAATTAACAAAAAACAAAATGTATAAAAAATATTATATTAAAAACTTACTTTTTAAGGCCGTTATATTATATAATACAACGAGTAGTATCGAGACTATCATTTGACAACACGATTAAATTTATATGTTTATCCATAGAACCGATAAAAAATGTATTCAATAGATGGGTATAATATCACGAATTAATAAAAATATGTCAGCTCAATAATTTTTACAGTTGCAGAACAAAAGCCATGACAAAACACAGATTTTACAGCATTATTGTACCAAACACGAATCAGTTATTAGTCCAGTACGGTGTATGCATGATTATCAATTGTTATCAACTAAAAGTATATAAACCTTATTAGGCATTCCAAACTGAATGGATAACAGTGGGTTTTGACAGGTATGATATGACAGGTATGATATGGCAAAATTATGGCAACCCTGTAGGCCTGGTGATTTGACAAGGTCAATGAAATAGATAGTTACATAGATTGAACATCCATATTTTTCAAAATAAACATAAGCTTATGCCTTGAAGTAAAAATGTAAGCAATTATTATTTTTTAAATATCTAAAGGCTGAAAATTGGTTTTAAAACACCTTTTTGCTAAACTGATTCAAATTAATAAATATTTGCCAGGCAATATGGCCGCTCACATACGACCAGCTTTGAGCAATCTATATAACTACATATGTATCATTGACCCTGTTAATGACAACATAACAACAGGGTTGCCATATCTAAACTGTCAGTCCCCACTGGTAGCCATGAGAGGTCGTTGGAATGCCTAATTACATAATTGTGAGTGATAATATCACAAAAATCCAACAACTCTTGCTGCGTTTGAGAATCCACATCGGATGCATCTGAGATGTAAAAAATCTTTGATCACGTGATTCAGTATACGTAAATGTAATGGGACAGATGTGTCCGATGTGGATAAAAAAACGCTCGAGATGTAAAAAATGCATCCGATGTGGATTCTCAAACGCAGCATTTATAGGTACTTTTTAGAAAAGCTTTGACACTGACATTAGATACGGCTGTGAATATATGAGTACAAAATCAAGGACGGTAATTTTAAAATAACGGGAATTACATTGAATGGCTGAATGTGCCTCCCATCCTCCCTACTTATTTCTCCATTTTTAATCAATTATTTCAATAGAAATGCCTAAATATTCTATCTAATTTATCATACTGCAGTAACTTTATTTAAATTTATCAACCATCTCCCTGACGATTAGATATCTTTTGGACTTTTTTAAAATATCAAAACTTTTCGTTTTAATATTGCAGAAATCATAAGATATTTTGTTTTATTTTAATAATATTAAATTTTTGTAACTAGGGACAATGAAACGTGCATTTCACCGATAAAAAATACACTCCTGCATTTAACTCTTAATAAATGCATCGTTAATTTAGTGTGAAAAGTCAGTTAACGCGTATTTTCCCATAAATCTCTATAAATAGACTAATATGACGACAAAAATTATAGTTGACCTGGAAAATTAATACCTTATTCAATGTTTCATTAAAATCATAATTTGAATACAAGAAATATACATTTTTCGTTTTAGCTAAAGTAAAATACAATTTTGTAAGTTATTTTTCAAAGTTTGATACAATTCATTGAACTTGAATGCATCTTTTATTGGTTATAGTGTAAACTTCATATGTAAAGGAAATTTTAAAACGTATTGTTTTAAAAAATGCCTAAAAAATTAAATAAGTCAGTAATTTACTGTTGCATGTCAATTGTCAATTTCCGAATGTCAATATCATAACCTACAATAACTTGAATCGTTTCAAAACAAATACACATTTCTAAAATTGAATAATGACTGAAGAAACGAGCGATAATGAACAAGAACCCACTACAAGTACCGAGCAAACAAAAAAACCTCCTAAACGGGGTATTATTTACTTATCTACTATTCCTCCATACATGAACGTTTCAAAAATAAGAGAATTTTTTAGTGAATATGGTACTGTAGGTAGAATTTATTTACAACTGGCAGATAAAGGTAATACAATTGATATTCTTACTTGTGTAGTAATAAATATAGTTTATTTGATATATTAAGTTACATACTAATAAAAAAATGTAATTTTAGATGTGCCAGAAAAAGGTAAAGTCAAAAAGAAACGCAGAGTAGCACACAAATTCACAGAGGGCTGGGTGGAATTCGAAAGAAAATCCGTTGCTAAGAAAGTAGCAGCTTTTCTTAACAGCACACAAGTGAGTGGTAGGAAAAAATCTAAACAGTATGACCACATGTGGAACATCAAATATTTATCAAATTTTAAATGGACCCATTTACACGAACGATTAGCTTATGAAAAAGCCGCTAGGAGACAGAAATTGAGAGCAGAGATCGGGTTGGCAAAAAAGAAGAGTAACTTCTTTACTGCAAACATTGATAAGGGAAAAAAGAAGAAAAGCAGTGTTAATAGGGAATATGAAAATTTGGAACAAAAGAGTGAAATGGATACTGCAGATACGGAGACTGTTGATGATAGGAAGGAATTTTTGCAGTCCCTTTTTGATTAAAAAAATTTATATTATGAACATATTTTTTATTTTACATTCTATATACAACCTAAAACTATTGATTCATACTGGCTTTATTCTTGTCCCTCCCTGGTATATTATCCCTACCCAAAATCTTTTCGCCACTTGAAATTAAAGCAAAATTATAATCTACAGGATTGGCCAATGCTTGTTCAATAGCAGCATCTATATTCTCGGCAGTTATAAAAGTCTTAGATTGTTCTTTCTCTTTTCTAACAATTTCTTCAATATTTTCTTTCATCTCTTTGATTTTCTTCTTTTCCAATTCGACTTTTTCCAATGCTGCAATAATGTCATTTTCTTGTTGTTTGGATATGGCTTTTTCTCTTATTTCTCTCTGCTTTTCGTTCCATTTTTCATTTATAGATGTACATCTTTTTAGATCTTCTTCAAACACTCTTCGGCTCTCTTCTGGGTCTTCACTTGCCTGTACGGAATAAATATTAAATGTAGGTTTAAATTACAAATAATCACAATTAATACCAACCTCTGCAAATTCTGCACTGTGATTAACAATGAAATAGTACCTTAAAGACTTCATTTGTGTACGATAATTGTTATGAAGTCGCTGAAGTTCGAGTTTTTCTTCTTCCGATTGCGATGGTCGAGGAGGAATTTTAAATAATTTAGATTTTGCTGTACCCAGAGATATCGGTTTTCTCCTCCTGAATCGGACAGATTCGAATTTGGTGAAATTAGTAGCATCATGCTTCGATAACAGCCGTAAATTTGGTGTTAATTTAAGCATTTTTAATTGTAAATCATAACAATACTTTCAAAAAATATAATCGGGAGTTTTCACTTTCAATTCTAACCTATACTTTTTTATTAACTTGATTGAGGATCAAGGTGGGAAATGTAAAATAACTTGTAACAGTTATAAAGTAACTTATAATTTTATTTTTAATTTATATCTTTTGCTTACATAAATTTAAGAAACAAAATAGAGTGACAATATCTTTTAATATAGATACTATTTTTTATGGCAGTGTCTGCTGCACGGATGTCGGTTGTTCAAGTTTTCGTTGCTGCACGGATGATCCTGCGCCGAATGGAAAAGTATTATATTGTCCTGGATATTAAAAGAAACAAAACACTAAAAGAATTTAATAAATAGTTTAGACAGTATCCAATCACATGATGAAATTGATATAAGATTGTTAGAAGTAAATTTAAATTTTTTAAAAAATTATTTTTCCCCGATATATGGGCCTAATATAAAGAAAATCAAACAACAGTTAATCAAAAAGGTAAAATGGATATGCGCGGAATATAATGAAGAGGTTTCCAAGTGACAACCAAGTGTTCGTTGTGACTCTTGTCTGCATTGGGTGCAGTGGCGGCTTGTGGGGGTGTTCACAGTGACAGAATATAGGTATCAGTACAGATGTATGAAAAAACTTTGTGTTTTAGAAAGTTTATAATATACTTTTCTAAAACAGTGACAGTTTTTTACCTATATCTGTACCGGGACTTATATTCTGCTACTGTGAACCCCCAACATTTTTGTCCCAAACCGCCCCTGATTGGGTGCATGTAGCACATCTCAACAAGAATGCTTTGAATTAAAAAAATATATGTTTGCGTACACTTCTACTTTTTTATCTCAAAATAGTCCTATTTTGTTTTTTTATTCCCCTACAAATTTTAAATACTTGAATTTTTTCTATGATAATTCACTAATAGGAAGCTAAGAACAGTTAAACCAGAAAATTATTTTTTTCATCGCCTTGCTTTCTAATATCTCGCATCCTTGCTGCTTTTGCTACCCCACCTAAAAAACAAAATAAAAGGTACCGAACTGAATCAAACGTCAAAAATACGGAGAACAAAAATGTCAAAAATAAATAAAACGATTTATCAACAACTGCTGACAACTAATAATAATTATCGGCAATCGTTCATTTTTGTGATCGTTATCCGTGCGTTAAGGATAACATTGTAACACCGAAAATTACGTCATCATCCGTGCATCAACGACGCGTTAAATCACCGATGTCCGTGCAGTAGACACTGCCATTTTTTATGTGAGATTCGTATCCTACTCATCATAGTATACCGAGACTCATGCGACCCTACAAATTATCCATCTACTAGTCCGACCTTGCCTTGCAGGTAGACTACCACTACCAGTGATACGTAGAGTGTACATTTATTCTACAAAGAAGATAACTTTAAGGTTTGTTCTGTTTCTTCAAAAATCAGCAGTGGGATTATCATCTTTCAATACAGCATATGTCGAGACGCCTATCTTCGTTCGACAGACAGCGATTCTAATGTAATGTCTTTCCCTGTTCAACACGTAACGTATTGAGTTAGCACATAAGAATCCCTGTGCAGATGTGTCCAACACATGACTTTCCTGTCTAGTTATTACACGTTTTTTTCGGTTATTTTGTACAACCTATTGTATCACACCCGTAAATATTTATTGCCAACGAAACTACTGATAAATTATTTTTTTTATTTTTCCTCAAAGTTTTACATTACGGTTCATTTTAAAGAAATCATATATAGATTAAAAATTATAGAGAATGATACCGCAAACAACTTTTATTTATACAATTTTCTTAAAAATTGGAATTTTTCACTTTTTGTCAAATTTTTTGAATACGGACCATTTTATAAAAGTTGTGTATAAAATAAAAATTATAGAAAATAACGTTACAAGCGTAAATAACCGCAGAATGGGTTAAAGCATAAAATTAAAATTTGGTGTTTTTCTCTTATTCCGTTTTTGAGTTAATTCAAAATTTGTAATTTTTCTCAAATATCTCGAATACGGTCCATTTTAGAGAAATTATGTATAGGACAAGAATTATTGAAAATGATATTACAAATAACTTTTATTTGAGCAACTTTCTCAAATATTTGAATTTATAAATTTTCATTCTTAATGCCAGTTATCAGTTTAATATATTTTTCTAGTTGCAAAGTGTTTATCATAAAAGTACGCAATTAATTTTGAAGTGTGATAGCAGTGTTAAGTAAGCATAGCAGACATAAATACTGATTCATTCATAAAATGCATGCGCGCGCACCTCAAATAAACGTACTCGCACAAACCATCCCCACTCAAATTAGCAGCTGTCTACTACTATTGACTAATGCGGCAGCAGATGCGACAGCTCTGTCTGTGTACACACGAACGATTTATTTCAAGCCTGTTGTTTAAAAATTTAATGTTATAATGGAAACATATTTTTTAGTGCTTTATTTAAAGATATTTTAAACTTGTGCCGCGTTTGAGAATCCACATCGGATGCATCTGAGATGTAGTAAATCTTTGATCACGTGATTCAGTATACGTAAATGTAATGGGACAGTATAATCCCTTAATAATAAAACTGTCTTTGATAAACTTTTCGTAAAAGCTCAAAATACGCAAATGACACTATATGGCTTCACTGGCACCAAAAAAATGGAAGTCAATCGATATTTGCTCGCAATTCTCTGCATCGGTCTGAAATAGGAGCTACAGGTCTCCTCTCTTTCCTAGTTTAAGTGGTTTGTTTGTACAATCCCTAAACTGCAAGAGCCGTAAACAAATGAGCTTAGTTATTTGGAATATTTTATAGCCCCATCTCTAATATATTAAAAACTAGCCAAATCAAATATACAGAAGTAAGGAGTATTTTAGCGATTAATGATTTCAAAAATATATAGTAAATAAGTTATCATCAAAAATCGAAATTATGTATTTTTTTAATATATGACAATTTTATAAATTAAACTAATGAAACTGAATCAACTTTTCCGTGATAAGACACAAGGAATTTGAATCAATCAATAAATGTAATTCAAAACTATTTAAAATTTAAACGTTGGCTATAATGTATTTAGCCAAACGTCAAACCTCTGACGAGAGGCTATTTCGCCCAGACCGTACCGACGTTGCCAAATGTTAATGACACTAAGTTAGGCGCGAAATTTAAACGTTCCAAAATATACACATGGCGTAAATGCATATATATGAATATTGTGTATTAATATTAATAATCATTGTGACCAGATAATCGATTATTATCGTTCAAAATTGTTCAGGTATATTAATAATAATAAGTAGTAATTATATATTGTATGATATATTGCAAAATTAGTAGGTAGGTACCTATTTGTAATTGTATTATATTTTGATATACCTACTGTAATAATTTCTGGTAAATAAAACTTCTAAGTTTGTTTTCAATTCTTTTTATTTGAATACACATTTTAACATAAATTATCTAACCCAAACTACCTACCTAATAATACTTTTCCAAACAAAATAGGAAAACTTATTCCCAGAACTTATAGGTACACTAAACATACTGATGATCATTAGAGGGAAATGAGGATATTGCAAGAAATGAATCATCAAGGGAGTGCCTCAAATCTACCTACCCACTGTCTCCTTGATATAACTGAAGAATATTTTCTGTACAATTGTATCTTTTCTGTTAGAGAACATTATAGCCACTGGGAATCCGTGGTTGAACTCATCAATAACCATAACAGTAGTCATCTCAAAATCGTATGCGTTCAGACCATGCGTACCATCAACTGTAATTATACTGGGAAAACTCTTAAGCATCTGTCTTTGAAATTTATTCATAACAATCAGACAAAAGTCATGTTTTTTTAGAACTCCTTGTTCAATGCCTTGAGGTTTGTAATACGGCCGTATTCATGAAGAAACTGCAAACAGCTCAGTTAACTAACCGGTTGTTAAATGTTAACAAAGGGTTAGTAATACTTGCTATTCACCAACCGTTTTAATCAAGCAGTTAACAAACCCTTGATTAAATTAAAAGTAACTAAATTTAAGTTGGCAACACCAATTTGTGCCTCACTTCAGTTTTGATTTTTAGAACAATATAACCTAACTTTTACTCTGTTGTCTGTTTTGGTTTTGCGAATTTTTATAAAAAGTATCAAATTATTATTTATTTGTGTAATAATTGTGATTTGAGAAAGGGATAATACCTATAATAAATATGACGGAGGAGAAGAAACGATCTTCAAATTTTACACAGCGAGAGAAGGATATATTGATATCATTGGTTGAAAAGTATATTAACGTTTTAGAATGTAAAAAAACGAATGCAATATATAATAAACAAAAACACGAATGCTGGGAGAAACTGGCATGGGACTATAATGCCCTACAAACAAGTGGACAACGAACAGGATCCCAATTACGGACACTGTACGAGCAGATGAAAAAATTAGCTAAACAACATAAGGCTGACAGTAAGGTAAGGTACAATTAGGTCCATCCTGGGTCACACAGTATTGCTCAAACTGAAATAGATTTAAATAAACATGGCTAGGGTTGCCAAACATAGACTTGCCCTCTTTTTGGGGACATTCAGCTGGCATTTCTTTTTTGCTTTCATAAAAAATTGTTCATCTGATTTTTACTGTTAATATTTATGTAATAACAAATACACATAAAATATGGAAATAACTAACTACATATTTTTTGTTCAAATAATCACGAGTAGGAAAATTATGGTAGATTTCTATTCAAGGCATTGTATTGTTGCAGGTAGAAATTCTAAAAACTGGTGGAGGGGAGAATACAAAGCACAATATCCTTTCTTCACAGGATGAAAAAATTTTAAGTCTTTTACAAGAAAAATATTTTTGTGTGGACAATGTTCTGGATTCAAACGTTCTTAATGAAAATAACTCAGAAACTGAAAACACATTTTTTGCAACACCTTCAACATCTAGGAATTTTCAATCTTGTGATGAAATCCTGAAGAAACCCTTGTCCTTAAAAACAAACATAGGTCAACTGACAAATATTGATAATGACTTTACATTTAATGAAACCTCGGATGAAACTATAGAAATTCTTTTAGAGGAAGAACCAATGGAAGAACAATCTCAAAGCTTATTACAGTTTCAGCCAGGAAAGAAATTTAAAAAAAAACAAGAACAAGAAAATGTTAAAACTGATGTCAATAAAAAAGAAAAAAGTAAAGAGAAGAGTACTAATAAAAAACCCAATGGAGGAACCATTTTGAAGCCTTCAGGTCTCTCGGCCAAAAAATTTGAAGTATATGAAAATAAAATACAAGTTTTGCATTTAGTGCAGAAAAATGAAGAAGAAACGTTGAAAGGTATAAAAATGGATAATGAAATAAAACAAATAATTAAAGAAAAAGAGGTCTTGGATCTTAAAATAAAAAAAATTCAATATGATAGACTTTTAGAAAACAATTATTAAGAATGAAAAGTTTATTTCTTTGAGTGCCAAGTCAAAGGCCTAGTACTTAGTTCTTGTTATAGACTGTACTGATTTATTTGAAGTTATACATTTATAGTAGATCTAGGGTATTTATTTAAAGTTTAGTTTTTGAGTTCCTCTTATTATTTTTAATGATAGAAATAAAATACTCTAATGTTCAAAACAAAAATTGTGGTTAATTTTTGGCCCATTTTTGGTTCGTGTTTTTTTCATTATGGTTCCTGTTCCTTAGTGTATTTTAGGTTAAATTTAAATTTGTTATTTTTTGTTCTTCATTTGTTTGGATTAAAGAGGTTTTTTTATGTTCAAATAATCAATATGTTATAAATAAAAAGATGTTTAATGTTCAAAATTACTTTTATTTTTTTTTTAGCCGTTAAACTTTAAACAGTAAAATATTTAGCTACTAACAATTTTGTTAAATTTTTGAGCATATTGCAAAATGTAATAATATTTATTCATACTCGTATATTACAGAAAACATTATATTTAGCACTAACTAACAAATCAGAATTACAAAATTATAATTTTTTTCTAATTTTACCTTTAAATTTCAGTGAGTTAAAAAAATTAATTTTGTTCTTAATATTTTCCAGTTGTTAATTTCTCCAATAACAAAATAGTCAGGATATTAGTGCTAATGGGTACTTTATCTGAACCTTTAGCAAATCAGTTAAAAACAGTTTGTAGTAAAGCATCCCTTGTTGCAAAATTTTGCCCTCCACCATTATAATGAACTACTCCAATTATATCATCTAGATTAGGGATATCATCAAGTTGCTCTAAGTTATCACCTACTTGAATACAAATGTTGTGTAACACTGCAGTGGCTACTATTATATTACATAGAGTTTGAAGTTTTAATCTCATTCCCAATGATAAACAGGGAAATCTCCGCTTCCAGACACCAAATAGACGTTCTACAGTATTTCTGGTGGATATTTGAGCCCTGTTATAGCGTTCTTCTGTCGGATTATGAGGATTTAGTAATGGTGTTAATAAGTAAGTTTTGCATGCATATCCGCTATCCCCGAGTAAACAATATGGTGAAAATTCTTGATTTTCAAACCTTGCTCGAATGATTGAGTCATTAAATATTGTTGAGTCATGCACACTACCAGGCCATCTAGCTACAATGTCATTTATCATAAGATCACTATTACCCACTACTTGCGAGTTTATACTAAACCATTGTTTGCGGTTTCTAAAAACTTCAGCATTTTCTCCTCCTGGTGATTGGATCTTGATGTGTGTACAATCTAAGGCTCCTACAAAAAAAAACATAAATGGTAAATCCAAAGTTTTAATAATTAAGAAAAAAAAGTACCTATTATTCCAGGAAGACCATGAATATTAAAAAATTTCATAACGGTTTGCCTCTTCTCTTCATTTGTTTGTGGCATTCTTATGAATTGGGCTCTCAAAGCAGCAATGTGATTTGTGATATTTTGTACAATTCTTGATACAGTAGGTTGTGATACATTGAAATGGTCCCCAATATTAATTTGAAATGAACCTGTTGCATAGTATCTGAGGCAAATTAATATTTGATTTCGTTTAGAAATTGGATAACCCTCATTATATGGTTCTGGAACATCTTCTAATAAATTCTCTATGTATAAAAAAGTCTCTTTATTTATACGAAATCTTTGTTTAAATTCAATTTCGTCCAGTTCATTAAATAGATCGTTTCGCGGTCTCACTATTTTTTGTCTTCTTGCACCTGGTCCCTCATCTTCAGACGAGGACGAAGAGGATGAGGTATCCTGTACACGGTAAAACCTATCCATCTAGGTATTTACACAAACGGTTCTAAAAATTGTTGTTTGCTTAGAAAAATCGTAGGCCCTAAATAACTACAAAACGAACCTCAAAAATTTAGAAAATTCCTATTAGCAGTATTAACTGTCAGATAAGCCCCTTAACTGGGCGATCTCGGGCAGTTAACTATAACAAACTGTTAAGTCCTAACAAAGTGTGATGAATACCACAGATGCATGTTGACCAGCTGTTAGATATTTAACCAGCCATTAACAAGTTAACTACTGTTCATGAATACGGCCGATAGAGAACTGGGTTTTCTTCTGAACCTTGACATTCCTGTACCCACAGATCAACTGAAAATGCATCATTTGAGCTTCTCTTGCCATCTTTTGATTCAACACCATAGCTTGTTTTGATATTTCTGATGTCTTTTGAAGTTAGTAAATCAACTCTTTTCAGCTCTTCTCCAATATTGTCTCGTGTAGAATCCAAAATTCTATAAAAAATATTAATTTTTATTATACTTTAAAAAAAGAACCGGGGTACCGAGCTCGACGCTTTAAATGTTAAAAAGATTTCAAATGTTACACAAGGCGCGTAGCTATGTGGGTCCCTGTATATTACACTTACTAATTTATATTACTTACTGTGTAGGTATTACACAGCAATCCTACTAACTACTATTATATTATGTTCAAGTCTAATTTTTACCTTTGAGGTGTTATTCCATGAACAAGTTTCGAAGCAATAGTGTTCTTTTCTGCTTTTGGTAATCTGATATGCTGCAAATCGAAAACATGACCATAGTGCTTTTTCTGCCAATCAACAGAAATATATCCATTTTCTTTTATCACTTTGATCTGACTTGTGCATGAGTGGCCAATCTTGCAAGATCCTCGACTTTTCTGCAATCTACGTCTCTGTTCAGTGTGTTTTGCTAAATAACCTAAAATTATTAACCAAATTTGTAATAAAATATTGTAGATATGCTTAGAATGAAAAAATAGTATTTGCTTCTATAATTAATGACTAGGTAGACATTGATAGTACAAGTACTCAACTTACCTGTTTTACTTCTATTGCAATTGTAATAAATGATTTCACCATTTGTACTGGAGTGTCTACTCTTTAAGATGTAATAGCAATTATTTAGCTTTTCAATGCTTGATTTCCAATTCTCGAATTCTATAAAAATAAATAAAAGGTACTATTAAAACCGAGACTAAAACAATGACAATGGTATAGTAATTCATGGTACTACCACTCACTCATTCATATAAAGCAAAAAAATCATATACATATATGTATGTGTATGGTATCTATTGGTACCAGAGAATTGGTACCCATGCTTAATTTACAAAACTTACCATTCATACTTTCCATAACTAAGGATTGACTTGGAAACTTAATTTGATGGACTACTTCCAGATGGTCCATTAATCGTTTATTGGTGGGAAATGCATTATCACATTGCTGTTCAGCACACCTATAGGTCCATCTTATAGGACTTTCTTTTCCATATGTAATTGGCTTTGGCTCCAAATGATGAACTTCTCTAAAATGCCTATTATGGGACGATTGTGTAGAGAAGAGCTTTTCACATACTGTACACATTACAGGCATGTTGAAAACACAACTGACACTGACCAGTCGCTACTCACCACTATTATTAAAAATATGAAACAAGTTTCTATTCTATTTTATATTTTATAGTTTTCGCCAAAGCAAACACTCTGTTATTAATCTTATTATTTAAGGTTAGGTATATTTTACCTTTCTTCTTTCTTCCAAAATAAACCGGACTGAAATTTGGCAACGTCGGTACGGTCTGGGCGAATTAGCCTCTCGTAAACCTCTGAGTCAAGAGTCAAACGTCGTGCAAACGTCAAACGACAAACGAGTCGATAAGTTGTCAAAAGTGTCAAATATCCAAAGAATTTTCTAGTTTTTGTTTTTTTCGAATTTTCGCCCGTATTTTAATTTTCGGTGTGCGAGGTAATACATTTTATTGAAAATGAACAACATTAGCCCCACAACAGGTAGGCCAGAAAAACCCAGTGTATGGTGCATGTATTGTTAATTTTCAATCACACTGGACTCTGTAGTCATGTCATTAGCTTTCATCCCACGTAAAAAAATTAAATTAAATTTGATTGTCGCAAAGTATTTTGATATGGATCACTAAAGTCATCAAGATGTTATTTTGTTTTTGTAAATTTCGCTTATCCCGGACTGTTTTTTGTATCATGTGACGTGTCAATTAAATACATTAGTTATGTTTTAATTTATTGTTGTGCAATAAAGTGTTTTGCATAAAACATATTGGTGTTAATTAATTAGGCATTAAGGTAGGTATAATTATTATTAATAGATTCATTATTTATTAAAACAGTTAATACCTGTCGGCAGGTTTAGGTAATAATGAGTGTATTATTGGTTGCATATATTTAGGGGCTGGTTCTTTTGTTGTGAAACGAGAAATATGAAAGCTTTACCTTCAAAATAAAACGGTACCACCAAACCAACTTTCTACAGTTTCTAGCCGCGTAAGCATTATTGAGGTTTGTAAAATCTGTCATTTTTTGTAACACTATCTAAAATGCATAAAAACTCAAAGACATTATTCGGGTTAAAATGCTTAACGATGAAGATCCGAATTTAGAGTACATAGAAGATCCTTATTTCACGCAATCGTCCAGCGTTACACCAAGTTTAGACGAACCGGACCTGGATGAATACGATTTGCTTGAAAACGAGTTAGATTTGTTTGATTTGAGACAGTTTGATTTTGACGAGGTGACACACAGCAGTTTGTATTCGTTTCCTGAAGAGACTGAATCTGTGAACGTTGAAACCGAGTTTTTTAACGTTAAAAGAGCCAATACTATTTTGAGGGCTTTTTTCAAGAACAAATTGAAAAAGCAAGTGCGCGTGACTTACTGCGATCTTACTAAGCCCTATTTGGCTAGATTGCCGAAAGATAGTAATTTTAGAAAATATTTAGATATCAGTCATAACGGTGAGTTTTTTCTATTATAATTACAAATTTAATAAAAAGAGTACTTAGATATAAAATAATATGAGAAAAGAAAGGTTTTGAGAGAGCATGAACCTTTAAAACTTTTTTATAAAAACGTAATTATTATTAGACTACAAAATTTGATTTGATGTAAATTTTGATTTCACCTACCAATTTACTTTTAAATTAACTTCTTTTTTTTAATCAAGTCTTCATTTAATTTAATTTAAGAAATAAATGTTTCTTTAGCAACTAGATTTTTTTAAATTGACCTGATTCTTATAAAATTCTGGGAATACCTAATTTGACCCCTTTTCGATTATGAAAATAATTAAACATAAAATTTGTAGGTATCTTTATTGCAAAAAAAATTAAGTTCCATATTTTGTGTAAAACAATAACACATTTTTTTTTAAGTAAAAAATTTGCCATATTTTCAATTATTATTAACACGTTGATGGACACATGACTTGAAAAAGTTCATGTTGTGAGTACATTATATTTAAAAAATATTTTAATTGAAGCTCTCTCGATTATAAAGGTTTCCCAAATGTGTGAAAAAATTACATTGGACATGATCAGCTCTCTGTCTCATCACAATATCTCTATCCTATAATACTATACAAAAACACAAGATAAATATTTAAAGTTCGGGTAAAATCTACTTAACTTGACAGCAAATCTCTTTTCCTTGTTGGTGTAGATCCAACAATAAAAGAAGTAGTGTACATGAATTCATTTTGGCCAAAAAATGTATGCTTCTCAAGATTTGACTTTAGGAAGGGTCAACATTTCCTCGACAATCCCGATGGTTACAGAAAAACTGGATCTGTGTCATTTTTAATAGCAGACATGAAATAAGTACTGAAGACTATGTGCCTTCTAAAGTTCTCAATACTACTGAGTCATTCAGGGGTTCAGCGGGGCCATGTCCATCTTTCATTAGAATGTTCAATGTATAGGAAACAAAATCTTAGAAATCGAAAGGTTTAGTATAAAAAAACACATCTATTAAGATAATCTGCATCACTGAGCTCTGGTTAAACAATCATGAAAAAGATTGTTGTAATTTGATGAATTATAGAATGGCTAGCAGTTTTTGTCGAGGCATGTATAAAAATGGAGTGTTAATTATTTGGTATTAACATCAATGTTTTTAACAAAAAAACTCTTTTATCCTTTTGACGCTATTTATTCAAAAACTGACAACTATTCAAAAAATTATTATATCAAATCATAGTATGTAATAAATATATATACAGGGCATATTAATATTTTTGAACATAGTCCCCCCCGGTGTTGATATCACTTTTATCAACACAAGTATTAAATTTAAAAATTTTTCTGGCAGGTCGTCTATAAACTCCGTGAGCAGTCCTAACATCGACTACACGTACAACATTATCTTCTGCCTTGTAGGTTTTGGTTATTACTCCAAGTGGCCACTGCCCTCTGGGAAAATCATTTTCATTTATTATGACTACATCTCCTTCTCTCAAGTTTTTATCTTCGTCATTCCATTTGCTTCTGGTAATTTGTGTAGCTAAATACTCTTTTAACCAACGTTTCCAAAATATATCTATTAAATATTGAGCTACTCTCCACTGTTTTTTTGTAAATGAATCTTCTTTGGAAAAAAAACCTGGTGAAGTTAATATTTTCTCAGAGTCCAGAATTAAGATATCATTTGGACTAATGCTAATTTTGTCATTTGGATCATCAGACACGTGTGTTAAAGGACGACTATTTATTATATATTCACATTCAGCGAACAAAGTTTGGAGAACTTCGTCTGTAGGATGTCTGTCACTCATAATCGCCGAAAGAGCTCTCTTGAAGCAGCCAATTAGACGCTCCCAACTTCCTCCTTTCCATGGAGAAATTGGAGAGTTAAATTTCCAGGAAATACCTCTGCTTGTTACATCCTCAGCTACTTTCTCCAGTTGAAGTTCGTCTAAAGCTTCAAGTAGTTCTCTATTTGCACCTTTGAAGTTGGTTCCATTATCGGACATTATCACATTTACTGCGCCCCTTCTTGCTAAAAATCTGCGTATAGCCATTATGCAGGAGTCTGTACTAAGGGAATGGGCTATTTCTACATGAATGGCTCGCATCGTCAAACAAGTGAATAAAACGCCATACCGTTTTTCCAATCTTCTACCAACTTTTACTTGAAATGGTCCAAAGTAATCTATTCCCGTAGCCCAGAAAGGTTTCTTAAAACAGAAAAGTCTTTCTTTGGGCAACGATCCCATTTTTGGTTGCATTTGTTTTGCCTCTCGGCGTCTACATATTTGACAAAACCTTACAGTCTTCTTAACAACTGATCTTATTCTAGGGATGTAGAAGTTTCTTCGCAGATTATTAATGATGGTCTCAATACCTTGATGAGCATTTTTTGCGTGCACATGTAATATCATCTTCTGCGTATATGGGTGAGAACCATCAAGAACTACAGGATCCACAGATATTATGGACGTTGTCGTGTTTATTTTACTTGTTCTACTTGAAATCCTAATTATATCGTCTTTGTCAAGATAAATGCACTGTTTTCTAAGTCTACCAGTTGTATTTTGATTATTTTTGTGGAGATTCTGTAAGTCAATCTTAAAACAAGTACATTGTACTAGTTTCCACCACTTAGTCTCAGCCCATTTAAGGGATTCACAAGGAAGGAATGGAGATTTTTCATTTATAGGAACTTTTTTTAGGATATCTAGTACTTGTTTAATTCTAGCAGTTATACGTAGTAATTTTATCCAACTATAATGGTTTTTAATTATGGGAAGAGCGTCTGAAATACATACAATTTTTACTTCTACGGATTCCATTAAAATTTCTTCTTTACTTATGTCTACATCTTGTGAAAATTGTGGCCAACTATCTTCTTTTTCGTAAAGAAACTTGGGACCATTTAGCCAGCAATCATTTATAGTGCTCCTTGAGGTACTTCTTGTGCATGCATCTGCTACATTGATTTCTGAAGGTACCCATTTCCATTCATCAGCAGTCGTTGTTTCCAAAATTTCTCCTACGCGAGTTGCTACAAATGTCTGAAGTTTTTTGTCATTATAAAGCCATCTCAAAACGGTTTTGGAATCAGACCAAAAATATTTCCTTTTAACATTTAACTTCAGGTTTTGTATAACTGTCTGCGATAAACGTGCCCCCATAACTGCAGCAAGTAGTTCTAATTTTGGAATTGTGAGTGTTTTAAGAGGAGCAACTCTGGCTTTGGAAGCAACTAAAGTTACTTGCATGTAATTGTCATATACCATACGAAGATAACTCGCTGAAGAATAAGCTTCTTCACTAGCATCTACAAATGTGTGTAGCTCAATGAAAGAAGCATCGTCTAATAATCGAAGACAATAACATCTAGGGATTTCAATTTCCATTGCCTTTTTCAAATCTCGTAGCCAGATTGTCCATTTTTGAAACATTTTATCAGTAATTCCGTCGTCCCAACCAACTGCGCTACGCCATATGGTTTGTAGAAGTATTCTGACTTTAATACTAATTGGAGACAATAAACCTAGTGGATCATAAACGGACATTGCTGTTTTTAAAACTTGCCTCTTTGTAGGAACTGACGATCCATCCAAAATATTTCTAGGAACTTTATTTAATTTAAGATTGAAATTAAAACTGTCTTTTTTTGAATCCCAGATCATGCCAAGAACACGTTCCTCGTTGGTTTTTTTGTTCACTTCTGTATTGACCTTCTCATTTAACAGATTTTTTGGAATATCTTTTAAAACTTCTTGTGAATTGGCAATAAAATTTCTAATTTCAAAACCTCCCTTGGCGTGAATATTTATGACGTTATTTATAAGTATTATTGCTGCTTCTTCAGAATTTGCGCCATCAAGCCAGTCATCTACATAATGATTATTAATAATGGCATCTACTGCTTTTGGGTATTGATCTTCAAACTGTCTAGCATTGTAGTTTTTAACAAATTGAGCTAGAAAAGGTGATGAAGTGGTACCGAACAGCATAGCTTTCATTCTGTAAGTGTTTAAAGGAGCATTTTTACCTAAATTGCGCCACAAGAAACATTGCGTGAAGGTGTCTTCATAATAGATATTAACTCTGTTAAACATCTCCTTTATATCCCCCGCAAAGGCTATTTTATGGATGCGAAATCTTATTAGAACTCCGAATAGTGGTGAGAGCATATCAGGACCCGTTAATATAAAGTCATTTAATGAACAACCGTGACTCTTTGCTGCTGCATCAAACACAACTCTTACTTTTCCTGGTTTATTTGGATTGATCACTGGAAAATGCGGTAAATACCAAATTCTTTTCACTTTTTCAAGTTCTTTTTGACTGACTGGGGTAGCATAATTTTTCTCTAATATTTTTTGGATTTCTGCTATGTAATGTTTACTTAATTGAGAATCTTTTGCCAATCGTCTTTCTAGACAAAAAAATCTTTGCATTGCAATCTTTTTTGATTCTGGCAGTTGTTGATCATTTTGTTTCCATGGAAGTTTAACCTCAAATTGGCCATTCACGTTTTATGGAATTTTCAGCAATAGCCAAGGCTCTTTCTTCTTCTTTGGAATGCGTAAAGTTTCGTTTGGTTTGTACTACACCAAAACTTTCGAGCTTCATATATGATGTTACTATACCATGAAGTTTTTCATCACATGGTTCGCAGCATACCACAACTACTTCTTCTTTCTGGTAGCCAATTTGATCATTACTTGTTGATCCTACGTACCCATGTAATGTCCAGCCGATTGTTGTTTTGGATAGAATAGGTCCATTTAAAAACGGTTGAATAGTCTGCCGCGAAATAATAAGATGTGCGTTATTCTGGCCTATTAGTAAAGTGGGTTGGGCTCTATCTTCTAGATCCACATCTACATTTTGTATAAAGGGGAATCTTAGCAACAGGTGCTTTAAGTCATATCGTTGCCATGGTAAATTTAATTCACTGACAGTTCTAATATTTTGAAGTTTATGAAAAGTAGGAGAGTTTTGATTTG